AGTTATAGTTGTTGCAAGTAGTTTATCTATTGCTGCAAATCCCTCTGCTGGCAGATCACTTCCTCATTTCCTTCCTTGAATTGTAAATACTTCTGCTGAGTCTACAGATCAGTGTGTATAAAAGTATTCAACGTGCTCCCATCACAACTCCTCAAATATCGCTGCTTTGTCAGTGGATCTAAACGTCAAAACGATGCACAAGGCAACCTATTACGTCTGTTTAGGACATTCTTCAGACACTGTGTCAAGTTATGCTCTTTACATGGCTTGTGTCTTTTCAAAAATCACTCTGGAAGTGTATAGTTTCTGCTCGTCAAATGCATACTGTCTTTTCAAAATAAATACGTGGGTGAAACACTTTGTTTTTGGTTTATTTCTGTTTCTTCAGGCAACAAAAGCACATTGATACCTTTCCAAAGGACATCATGGTTTGGCTTAAAATAAATTGTTACTAATGTAATGCTACATCATGTGACATACAACATGTGGCATATGTCACTAACTAAGCATGCTACACATAATAGCACACTGTGTTGTCATTAAAATAACTGGTTTTACACAGGAAACAGACAGTGGGCTACCGGATGAAAGTTAACTTGCCCGCTCTTCACTCTACGGTAGTTGCTAGCGGTGTTATAATCTGCTGCCAGCCAATGTGTTTTATATCCCCGCGAAGGAAACCTCTGTGCATCTGTGTCTGACGTCAAATCTGTCATAATTTAATCTTCCGAATATCCCTAAACTAACCATGGCAATCTCTGCCCCTTAAAATACACGTCACGACTGGGTCTAATCACCAAAGAACTTTCCGCCCCTCATCGTTACTCTGCATGTAATACATTATTTTTCACTCTCAATGAAATCTCTTCTGACTGAAGTATTCCTGAATGCATCTGTTTTTTATTGGTAGTAAGCCAGCTTTTTGTGTCTATAAATAATACTTTTGCGCCTACTTTAAGATTTAAAAGAATCCAGTGAGGCTATGTCTGAAGTTGTAATTGTAATGTTATGTCAGTGTAGTGACAGAGGAGTAAACTTACACACTGAAGGAGAGGGGAAATTCTCATTTCCTTTTACAGCGCAGTAATAGGAGTCTGCAGGATTAATGACGGCCAAGTAATAAGTAATTCCTGTACCAATTTTCTGCTTATTTTTATACCAGACGTAAGAAGTATCTTCAGGTAGAGGACAACTGCTTTGACACCTCTGCTCCACAAAGACAACATGTGAGCTCACCTGCACCTGGAGACCTGGATTTGTGAAGAAGGAATAGGAATGTTATTGTACAGAAAACTGTCAACATATACACTTGTAAATATAAACACAACTTTGGAAATATTTGCTATGTGATTGGAAATGTTACCTGTGACAGACAAAGTGACTCCAGGTGAACCAGTGTAATGGCTTGGTTTGTTATGAACCTGAACTTGTACACAGCTGAGTCGCTCTCTCTCAGGTCTGTGATTCTCAGAGTGCAAATGTTGTTCTCACAGTGATCCTGCACATGACCTGCATACTGTGGGTCTTTTCTCAGATCCACAGGTTCATTCCCATTCATGTTAGTAAACCAGAATGTTTCCTCAACTGTAGTATCACTGCCCATTATGCTGGATGGGTATGTGTAGCTGCAGTGTATTTCCACTGTTGATCCTTTTACAGCACAGATCTTAGTAGGACTGTAAGTCACTCCCCAGCCATCCTGACCCTGTATCACTGTAACACAGAGCACATCAGGAACCACAATCAGACTCAGAATAACATCAGCAAACAGACTTTCATTTGTAGTGAACATGCTTCATTGTGTGATGCTACATTTCCCCAAAACTACTTCTGCTATCATGCCATCCCAGTTTAATTTAGTGCGAGACAAATGTAATCTTGCTTTTAGTACCAACTTGTCTTTGGGGCAGTGAAATTAAAAAAACTCAGAATGTTTAACATAACAGGGTCGATTATATTAAGTCAAATGCACATAATAAGTATTGTTTCAGTTGTTATTACCTGACACGCTTAGACCTCTTTAGTCAATATGTGGAACATTTGATTCCAGTTTCTGTTTCCCTACGTCCACCTTTGGGGGTACCCCACCTTGCCCCTCCCCTTTTGCTGTCATGCTCCATGGGAGAGGTAGGCCACATTGCTCTCTTAGTAATTTCCATGTTTTAACACAGTGAGGATATGTTTATAAGTTTATTTTATGCTAACATAATCTTGTGTGTCTTGATTTGTGAAGGTGCTTGAGTTTATATGGTTCAGCTTGACGGAAGAGTTTTTTCCCCCTCTTGTTATCAGGTATGTTTTTTGTGTTTTATTTACTTTATTGATGTAACATGGCCACCCTTTTGCTGTTGTGCTCCGTGGGAGAGGGGCTTGAGTTTACGTGGTTGTACTTGACGGAGGATTTTGTTTTCACCCCTTGTTGTCAGGAATAAAAGGAGATCACCTCTGAAGACATCAACGGTCTGGGCCTCTTTATGTCTACACAACGCAGACAACACTAGAGTCCACCGGTTACACTGATGCAGTTTCATCTCTATTCTATAAACATAATGCGCAAACATTTCTTATCACCGTCAAGCAGATGACACTCAGCTGTATATTCAAAATATAAGTTTAATAATAAACACTTAAATTACAGCATCCCTGGCTATTCAATTGATTGACAAAAGATTGTATACTCCCATCACCGGTGTAATTTAGTGCATATTTTGGATGGTATTTCATGTACATTTTATACCACAAATATATTTTATGTAGCAAAAGTAAAATGTGGCACATTACACTTCAGTCACACACTGCTGTCAAACTAATTTTCCATAGAACTTGATGCCGGAAAGTAGACAAACAGACAAAAATAATCAACATTTATATTAGAGTGTCCCTGGCCAAACAGTAGTCAAACTATTCAATTGATTCACAAAAGACTGTATATTCCCATCGCTCCTAATGACCCCACTGCATAATTGACCCTAACTCCCGCCCCACCTGGGTTACAGCTCAAAAGTTCCCTTTCCCCTTAGCCAGGTGCTGCAATGTTGATTAGATAGTTTCTTGGCGTAAGGTAATATAGCTTCACACAGTGGTGTAGTGGTAGTTGATGAGGTGGGTGTACTGCTAGGCACATAGGTAGGTTACCGATGAGGAAGTGGGCATACTATCCTATATATTATAATGGCTTTTTAGCTGATAGGTAGGTATACTGTCAGTGGATATACCCCGTATACCTGAGTATACCCTCCACTACAACACTGGCTTCACAAAGCCGACAGCCAAGACTACAGTATGCAATGCATGGATATATTCATGATGTCAGTTTGTATGAAAGAGGCAACACAACACACATTGATGCCTCTGGTCTCAACGACTGAGGGTGGTGAGGATTTTTCTTTGTTAATGTATGTATCATTTCTTCCATCCATACAAACACAACTTTACTGTCTTTGACATGCACAGTACTTCAGTTTATCAGGTATGAGTGTTCAGAGATGCTGGTGGTATGAACAACACACACAGCTCTCTGTTGGTCATCTTCAGTTAAAGATAAATGAGTGTCTTGTGTTTAAGGGGTCGCACCACATTAGATAACGTCACATCTTTGTATACACTAAAAAAACAACCTCCTGTGTATTTCTGAAGTGTGCTAACTGCCTCACAAAATAAACGTAGATGTACAGTACCTTGTACAGAGAGAAGGAAGATGACAAATCCACTCGCTGCTGCTGTTAAACTCATGGCTGCTCCTCACGTCTCTGTTAAATCACATCACACCACAAATATGATACTGTGTGATAATACTGTGTGTCAGTCAGTTATAATACACATTTAAAAGGAGGATGTGGTCGGTGAAGACAGTGTGTGTCTTCTCTGGCGGGTGCAGTTGTATTCAATAGATATCAAGCTATTTTAAACTGGCCTGGCTTCCTTCCTCTTTACATCATTAATGTACATGAACAGACGAATGACGGTAAAGCCCAAGTTGAAATGAAGAAATGACTGTGACTGCTGTTTTGGTGACAAGATATTTCAGTATGCTGAGATATTTCAGTCTGGACCAAAGAGGTGGTTCGCCTGCCCGGTTGCCATTGCCACCACTAAAGCCACTAACAGGGACACATCACAAACTGAACACTAAATGTTACATTGTTCTGAAGGCGAGGCAGCATTACAACAAAGGTTCACCTCTTGATTATAATCTTTGTTTAAACTAAAAGGCCTCAACAAGACCATCAGACAATAACTTGGCTGTTTGCATGGAGTAAAATGTGTGGAGGTCTGGACTGTTTTCACACAACAAAAGGTGCGCAGTAATTGATGGTGCATATTTTGGATGGTACGACATGTACATTTTATACCGCAGATATATTTTATGTACCAAAAGTGACATGTGGCACATTACACTTCAATCACACACAGCTGTCAACTTATTTTCCAAAGAACTTGATGCAGGAAAGTAGACAAACATAGAGGAATTCAAAATATAAGTTTAATAATAAACATTACAGTGTCCCCGGCTTAACAATAGTCAAACTTTTCAATTGGTTCACCAAAGATTTATTGTTGTACAAAATATATAACAGATAAGGAGGAAAAACTAAATGTACATTACATTTCTTTAACACAGTGGAGGCTAAAAAACAGAACAATTTTTATGAAGCTGAAATACAAAACTTTATGCACACTGCTGCCCTCTGAGCTCAACATTCTCTTTTGCTCTCTGTATCAGTCTGAACTCGCCGCCGCTCCAAACACTTTCCAGAAATTAAAACCCAATCAGGGCCGTTCTGCATTGTCCCCGTCATCTGACGGTTAATGGCCTCTTCGTTTGCAAGGACAAGGAGGGCGCGCAATTCCTTGTCTCCCCAGTTGCTCATCTTTACAGTGTCTGTCAGGTTTGTGTTTCCCTTTTGCTACTAGCTGCTCGCTAATTCCTGCTATCAGCTATTTCCTGTTTATCCACCGCCAGTGGGTTGCACGGTGTCATCAACAGCTCCTCCCACAAGTCATCAACAGCCCCTCCCGTTGCGGAAGGCCGCCTCATTCTTTTTAAACTGAAGGGGTTCTGCCAATGTCTACCCTACAAGGCTGAAAATTGGGCACCTCAGATCAATTCGCCAATCTGGCTCTGTGTGTTTAAACGCTCGCAGCTTGCTGGCATAATGGCCCAACATTGGCGGAAAATCTGGCAGTGTAAAAGGGGCTAGAGTCTGTTGAGCTGACGTCATCAGGACAGTCTTACCAGGCTAATTTGTTTCAGTCAGTTGCTGCAACACTTAAAGAAATGTGCCATCGGGGTGTGATACTACTGAGATTCTGTTTGATTTAAACAATTGAAAACCAGTGACTTAAACCAAGTGAATATGCTCATTGGCTTTAGTCACATTTTAGTCATTTTTATCCTTTGTAATTTTAGTCAAGCTTTAGTCGACGAAAACTCAAAACGGTTTTAGTCGGCAAAAAATTCAGACATTTTTTTTTTATCTTTAAACTAATCCAGTGAGGCTGATTTATGTATTAGAAATTAGAGTCAGTGTGACAGGTTGTATAAAAATTTAATCTAGACAAATTTTTGCGCTGACTATTCACTGGAGTTTGTCAGCCAGGCGCTCATGTGGTATTTAAAGATAATTACAAGCACGGCCGTTCTCGGGTTTCAATGTCCGACAGTCAACCATGAACGTTGTCGTCACGTTTCCTCTCATCAACGAAAATGAAACATAGATTTTGAGTTTTTATGATCAAAATCTATTTTTAGCTCGTTAATGCTTTTGTTTTTGTCATGGAAAAAGGTTGTTGATGGAAACTCTTTGTCATAGTTTTCATCAACGAAATTAACACTGTTGAAAACACACACTGTGCATGATGTGATTTGTGATGCTTCACATGAGTTCCTCCTGCTCCTCTTTGTCTTCAGTCTTCGCTGCAGTGCTGGACTTCAAGGTTGAGACTTGCTGGTACTCAGGACCGGAGTCTAACTGATGAGGAGAGATGACAAGATAACAACAGAAGGCCTCATTCATAAAACCAGCTGAGCTTACCAAATGATTTTTATCTTAAAATGGATTTAACGTGTTATAAACTATTTTTATTTTCATGATTATATTCTCTCTGTGTCTAACCTTCATACTGTGTGCAGGGTCATTTGGTGCATTGGTGGAGTCCGGAGTTTTCCTCTTCCTGGATTAAATCAAGCATAAGAAACAATTTATTTATCAAATATCTTAAAGAGATTCTGGTGACAGTGAGTAAAAATCAGAGATGAAACTGAAAGATGTGAACTGTGCAACTGTGTAAGCATCGGTCAGACACTCTGATGTAGAGTTAAATATTTTAACAGGATAACATCATAAATACTCAAAGATAGAATGTCCTGAAACATTTAAAATTGAACATGGAAGATTAGCAGACTTCTTTTAAAAAAAAAAAAAAAAGATCTCAGCGAAGACAGATTGTTAAAAGTTGAATTTGTTTACCTCATCCGTCGACACAGAAGAATAACAGCTATCAGGATCAGAGCCACCAGAGTCACAATTATGACAATTATTATTATTATTATTATTATTGTAGATTCTCCTAGAAATGGGAATAGACATAAGATAAGCCTTACTTTATAAAGCAGCTAGAAGCAGTTAGCAGCTAACTCAGAGAAGAAGAACAGCAGTTGAAAATGTCTGCAAATTGGGACAACAATGAGGACTGGGAGCTCCTTATCCTCTGAGGAGAGGGCGAGATCAGCCACCATGTAACAGGGACAGTAAATAATCTTTACTGTCATGTTAATGCAATTGTTATTGTTTGTAAAGCACTGCCGATGCGTATGTTATTGATCACACTAGAGGCTGACATTATTCTGTTACACATTAGGTCTGTTTTGCTAACAGGATGCCAGCGTTGTGTCAAACACTGTTTTCCTGTTGATATGTGTTTCCCCCTAATTAACCAAACCCTTAGTTGTAACCCTAACCACTGAGGGGGGCGCTACACATTCAAAGGCGGCGTAAAGAAGAGACTTAGTAGCAGCCCTATAAAGTGACCGCTGTGTAAAGAGGACTATTGATTGTACCTACCCACAGCACTCAAGCAACAGCTTCTGCTGGGGTACGGCAACACCACTTGGACAAACCATAGCACCATAATTCTAGAACCGGTAGTTGTAGGCTAATAATGACCACTTTTTAAGTGTATTTATGTTTCTGATTACATTTGCTTATAATCATTTCAAGCAGTAGTGTGTGGTTGCCTGACGTAGCATTGCAATGTTCCACGGCGGGGAACACGGTGGTGCAGTGGTTAGTTAGCATCGTCACCTCACAGCGAGATAGTTCCTGGTTCAAACCCGGGGTGAAGGACTTGAACCCCTGTGCAGAGTCTGCATGCTCTGCCCATGTCAGTGTGGTTAAGTACTCCGGCTTCCGCAAACAGTCCAAATAAATGCAGGCTAGGTTAATAATTAATCTATTAAACAATTATAGGTGACTCTAAATTGGCCACAGGTGCAAATGTGAGCATGAATGGTTGTCTGTCTCTAGGTGTCAGCCCCCCAGCAACCCCCAACAGGATAAGCAGTTATGGAAAATGAATGAATATTATTAATCCATATATTGGGGGATGGGTTCTCTCTAGGATATGACAACAGTGCTGGCAAACAGCATCCCACACTGGCAGAAACATTTAACGACTATACTATAATATTTCTTTACACATAAAGTCAAGAACTAAAACATTAGCATAAGGATGAGCTGGTGTGGGAGGATGTGTGTGTGTGTGTGTGTGTGTGTGTGTGTGTGTGTGTGTGTGTGTGTGTGTGTGTATTACTTCTTATTACCTGGTGCAAGGGTCAGACAAATGGTAGCATTTTGATGTCCTAGTTTGTTCTGGGCTTCACAGTAATAATTCCCACTGTGTTCAGCTGTGAAGTCGGTGATGGTGAAGATCTGTCCTGATGCTTTTGGTGAGTCTTCATCCTCCTTGTACCAGGTATAGTTAGCTGCTGGGTTAGCATCACTGCTACAGGTCACATTCACTGAGCTGCCCTCCGCGACATTAGTAGAAGGACTCGCTGACACAGAGGGAAGCTTTGGAGCATCTGGTGGAGAACATGCATAGAGACACAACTCATTATCATTAGCATGCATGATATGCAACAATGTTTGCACTGTGAATAGTACAGAGCTCAGGGCCATGAACCTTTATGGTTTTTGTCAGATGTCGCTGGCAGTGTCATAACCGAGTTACTATACTGATAACAAAATGGCTGATGAGGTTTTACCACAAAACCTTTTTATACAGCAAATTTGGAAACACTTCTAAAAAGCATTAATGTTATTCATGCATGAATAAATAGAGTACAGAATAAAGTCAAGGTTGACCTGCGATACAGTAGTTTAATTTGTTAAAAAGAATTTAAGAATTTAATTTCTATCGTAACTACATTACGATACCATTCTGAACTCCTGAGTCCAAGATGAATTTCCATACGAGGACAATGAAGTATTACGCATCGTCTTGTATCATATCGCATTATATCATATCGTATCGTATTGTTTCTATAGTAACCTCTCATTCCTTTCTAACTTCTCAATGTAGCATGCAAATAAAAGCTCGAAGACAGAAACTATTAAGTGGACCTTAGGTAAATAAAAGAAATAAAATCGACAAAATCACGATTTGGATCCAGCAGTATCTGATCAAATAATAAGTGCAACAGTCCAACCAATCAGTAATTTAACTAAGAAAGTGTTGCTGAAAACTATTTTGATCAGAATATGAACTAAAAGACATGTTGCATTCTTGGTTAAGGTTGTGACTTGTTTATTTTTGACCAAAATATGTCTCACTCCTCTTTTGGAATTACTGCTTGCTACAAGTTTGAAATTTCTGTGGCAGTTACTGTTTTATTTTGAAGTCGTGTACTTACACAGGACATCTATGAACAAAGAGTCAGAGCTGATCCATCCATATTGATTCTCAGACTTGCAGTAGTAGAGTCCTCTGTCCTCAGAGCTGATGGAGGTGAAATGATAGATGCCTTCTGGTCCTTGAGGCAGTTTTTGGTTCTCCTTGTACCAGGTATATTTAGCTGCTGGGTTAGCATCACTGCTACAGGTCAGAGTCACTGAACTGCCCTCCACTATCTCAGCAGAGGGACTCACTGACACAGAGGGAAGCTTTGGAGCATCTGGAGGAGAGGCAAAAAGTCATTTAGATTACCATAAGCAAAGTGTATATGTGGCCCATATTATTTTCATGATACACAATATATATTTATGTAGTTAGCAGCTAATAGTTATGTGTAAACTAGTCCATACCCATTGAGTGCACAGTTCCCCACATACAGTTTCACATGGTGTGTGTTTGGGATACAGGTCATAGGAAATTGCAGATTAAATAGTCAACTAAACCCATTAAGAAGAGCAATGTATTCAGACAGAGTTTTTGTGAATTTGATAGTACAATTGCTTTATTGAAAGTTCAGTAGTTTGCCAATTGCCAATAGTGAGATAGTTAGTGGGCTAAAACTGTACATTAGTAGTTGAGGTAGCACGTTGAAAGGCAGATAGTTAAAGTGTTTATATGTTGTATTGACTTAAAAGTGGGGCGCACTGGTAGTTCACATGGGAAAGGTGTGGCTAGCCCTTGTTGCAGCGGTGTGGGTTGGAATTTGGCCTTCATTCTTTGCTGCATGTCTTCTTTGCTCTCTCTCTCCCATCCTTCCTCTCGTGCTTCACTGTCCTGTCAAATATAGGCAAATATGCTAGCTCTCTAGCGCCCCCATTTTGTTTGATGGGGTCAATAATGGAGGGGTCCCCTCAGATTATGTGTGCTCATATGCCTACAAAGTTGCGTGGTGATGGGTGAAACCCTTGAGATGTTATACACCTTTATGTGATGAGCCACGCCCTCCGCAATATTCATTGCCTTATAGAAGCTCAGTTTTAGTAAGTTTTCCAACTTTTGCCAAGAGGGAACTTTAGATATTGGTCCCTAGATTATGTTCACCCAGTTTCATGCAGATCGCTCAAACTTCCTAGGAAGAGATCCATTTGAAGTGTTTTTCAAAAAATTCAAAATGGCGGAAAATCTATATAAGCGGAAGTTATGGGTTCTTGAGGCAAATGTGTTCCTCATGAGGAGAGGCATCTCTGTGCAAAGTTTCATGTCTCTACGACATACGGGGCATGAGATATGCCCATTCAAAGTTTGCAATTTCAATCGGTTGCTATAGCGCCCCCCTTTGGCCAATTGATGTAATATTGCTTCATTGGCATCCTCCCATGACCCTCTACCACTGTGCCAAATTTCACATGGATTGACCAAGTCAGTGAGGAGAAAAACGTGGAACAGACACACAGACAGAGTTTTCATCATTATATAGTAAGATAATCTTGGGACTGCAAAAGTGTGCCTTTTTCTTTAAATACAGGAGCAATGTTGGCAAAGTGATTTTACCTGTAATGTTTCATGTAGCTCAGAATTGAAATCTAACTATTAGATTAATTAAATAGGTGATATCCCGCATCATGCATTTGGTTTATAGTTTTCATCATTTGTTAATGGTGAACAACAGGAACTCATAATACATCCTGCATTAATTCATTTAATAAATCACCATGAGCCACACATTAGTTAAGCATTATTTATGATTCATACCCCTATTATACAGCAACTTAAAGTATTATGAGATGCCTTAAAATTTAAAGTGAGAGAACACAAAAGTATAAGAGAGAGAAGACAAAAGTTATCTCAAGGGAATGCTGAAGTTTCATGAGGGAACACAGCGGTAGTGCCGAAAGAAAAGTGCAGGCACAGTCAGTAAAACTTAAAAGTTAAAGTGGCTAACTGACAGATGACAGAAAGCCTTAATCATTTGTTTTACTCACATTTCACATCAATAGAGATGGATTCAGACGTCCTCCTCCCCAGCTTGTTCTCTGCTGTGCAGTAATACTCTCCAGAGTCAGAGGACTGGATGGAGCTGAAGACGAGCTGTGGTTCTGTACTGAGAGGTTTAAGGTTTGGATTTCCATTCTTCTTGTACCAGGTGTATTTAGCTGCTGGGTTAGCATCACTGCTACAGGTCAGAGTCACTGAACTGCCCTCCACTATCTCAGCAGAGGGACTCACTGACACAGAGCAGGTCTTTGGAGCATCTGAAAGAGATGGAAGGGACAGTTGATCCTTAAATCTAAAGTACATATTTGCCCTCTTGGCTGTAGTGCTTTGTATCAGTCTAGATGTAAGTCACAGAGTGTTGGAGATACTGGCCATAGACATGTCTGCCTTCTGGCTTGTGCAGAAACAGATTTAAAGAGTCTTAAGAGTGATATCTCTTTTCAGAAATCATGACCTGGTTAATCAAGATAATCCACAGACCTTGATGTGAGCAGTTTCATGTAGGAACTATTTTCTTTCTACCTAACTACACCCACCCACCACATTACTGTGTGTCATGCTTAGAATAACTGCCACAGCAACATCATTCAACGGAAACTCAAATTTTCAAAAAGGGTGTTGTTTGTTTCTTTTAAGTAGGCCATGTCTCACTCACACTTCACATTGATAAAGATGTATCCAGACGTCCTCCTCCCCAACTCATTTTCAGCTGTGCAGTAATACTGTCCGGAGTCAGAGGACTGGATGGAGCTGAAGACAAGCTGTGGTTTATTACTGAGAGGTTTAAGGTCTGGATTTCCATTCTCCTTGTACCAGGTGTATTTAGCTGCTGGGTTAGCATCACTGCTACAGGTCAGAGTCACTGAACTGCCCTCTGCTACGTCAGCCGAGGGACGCGCTGACACAGAGGGAAGCTTTGGAGCATCTGGAAATAATGAATATACAAAGTCATTTCACCAAAGAATTAATTTCTATAGGTGAGACAAAATAATAAAACTTTAAAACACACTGAATTAAAAGTAAGAGGCGTAATTCTAATGGGAACCACACACGTAAATCTGATGTCTTGATAACTGGTATAAAGGTTTCTACCCTTATGACATTTTGTCATTGATACACCATTGTAAACTCACAGACTGAAGGAGAGCGGTGATTCTCATATCCTTTGAAAGCACAGGAGATGATGTCTCCAAGATGAAACTGGCCTCTGTAAGAATACGTTACTCCTTTGACAATCTCTCCGTTCTTGAACCAGACGTAGGAGAGACGACCAGCTGGACTGCAGCTGCTCTGACACCTCAACTCTGCCTCAGTAACAGACTGCTGGACCACTACTTTTGTCACTTGCACCCGGGGAGCTGGATATGAAAGAGAGGGGACAGAGATAACAAATAATCCACTGAACAAACAGTTACTAAGTTGATAAGAATTACTGTATAGGATGAATGACTAAACTGATGCATGATCCTTTTTAAGTTGGAAGGAGAATCATCAGGTTCACATTAAACAGTTCTATGTGTTATATTGAAACATACTGTCACTGTGTTTGGATTAAATGTCATGTGTTCATCATCAGTACCTGCGACAGTCAGCGTTGTACCAGGTAAATCAGTCTGCCATTCAAAGCGTTGTGCTCTGAATTTGAAGCGATACTCGGCTGAGTCGCTCTCTCTCAGGTCATTGATGCTCAGAGTTGCAAGTCCTCTCTCTGTTGCCACACTTCCCGATACGCTAAACTGAACACGACCTGCGTACCGAGGGTCTTGAGTAAGGTCCTCGGGCTGTGAAGGATTCTGCCACTGATGACTGCGTCCAGGGCTGAACCAGAATTTGAATGCAAGATATAAGCCTAGTTCATAGCCATAATAAGAGCAAGAAATGTCCACGGATGAGCCCTTGAAGGCACAAATGCTTCTCTTGTTGTAGGACACTATGTTGCAGTATCTCTTATGGGCACCTGAGAAAATTAAACATTTGTAAACAGATTTGCTGGAGTAAAATAAATGCAGTTATGTACGGAAGCCCTGAGAGTCAAGTGAGAAAAGAAAATTCTGGTGATGCATTTTCTATGTCTGATCTAAATTGTTTTTGCTTCTGTGGAGAACACGTGAAATTAGCAGTCTTACCAGGAGAATCTTTTTTTTTTCTTCTAAAATCAGAGGTTTTATTTTATTTGATTTTATCTTATGTAAAGGGCCAATCACACCTACAGGTGGCGCTAGAAACGCCGTGGCTTCAAAGACATTTGAAATGCCTGAAACGCCCTTTCAAGCCTGTAGAGCAGGGTGTGTGCGCAACCGGGCGATCAAAACATTGAAAATGGACCCAAGATGGAGCTATGGTGCTACTGGCGCCTGACTCCCAAAAGTTGAGATTATTTCAACTTTCAGCGTCTACAAACGCGCATCTAAAAAGATGCCAGAAAAATAATGCACATCTAAATTGACGCCAGAAAGACGCTCGTCATAAAAAATGCTTGAAAACCAGTCAGACTCGCCGTATCATAGGGAATCAATTGTCTTACTGGCGTCTCGTTTCTAGCGCTCCTTGTAGGTGTGATCGCCCCTAATTGGTCATTTTTTCCAAATGTTTGTGGTTGTGATACTCATTTTGGCCACAAGAGGCTACCCTACGTATGAAGTAGGACTAAAAGCATTTGTGTTTTCTTCCAGGTGAGGCAGGTTAGCAAAGATTAAAATACATTTTTAGCCAAAAGAAAGGCATGACAGTAATGTTCCATAACTTGCTAACACACAGTGCGTATTTACCTTCTGTTTAGAGTTTACTGAGAAATTAGAAATCACCTGGAAGAAGACATGAATGCTTTTAAGCCATATTTAGATCATGGGGTAGTGGCAGACTTTAGCCTCTTGCCTTTTTTTTCACCCGCCTTTAAGTCACAAAAACAGGAGAAAAAACATTGTGATCAATCACCAGAATTTCTTTTCTCATTTGCCTCTAGGTAGTCATGATACAGGAAATCAAGTAAAAAGTGTCACTCACACTCTGGACGAGATGCAAATTCTTCAAATCCTCTTATAGCGCAGGCAAAACTGTCTTTATAATAAAAGTTAGTTTCGTAAGTTTTTCCTTCCTTTGTCTGTCCTTTGATCGAACTCCTTCCACTTATATACCAGAAGTAGGTCGGAGGACCAGGTAGCTGACATGTGCTTTCACAAGACAGCTCTGCATGGACACTTGGTACACTTGGTTTGAAGACCTTGGACCTCACCTGGAGAGCTGTGTATGTGGAGAACGATGAACAGTTTAGACTGAACTGTCAAGATACATGCACACACACACACATACACAAATTCACAGGAGTGTTTCCAGGATGAACCATTTTGAGTCTTCATCTGAAAATGTTACCTGTGACAGACAGAGTGACTCCAGGTGAACCAATAAATCTCCCATCTGGTTGGTGTGTTATGAACATGAACTTGTACACAGCTGAGTCGCTCTCTCTCAGGTCTGTGATTCTCAGAGTGCAGTCCTTGTCAGTAGAACTGTACTGTACACGACCTGCGTACTCTGCATCTGTTGTCAGATCCACTGGTGCAAAATCACCTCCTTTCGTGAACCATAATGTTTCTGTAACTGTTGTAGCTGGATCATTTCCTCCGGATGGGTATGTGTAGCTGCAGCGTATGTCCACTGTTGATCCTGCTAAGGCACAGATCTGAGTAGAGGTGTAAGTCACTGCCCGGTTATTTTGACCCTGTATCACTGTAACACAGAGCACATCAGGAACTACAGTCAGACTGATACCAACAGCAGGGCACAGAGTTCAGTTAGTAAGATGATTCTTACATATCAGATGCAATGATCCATGAATGAGCAACTTAAACAATACAGCAGTACAAAATAATATAGTGGAACTGTCTGACTAACATAATACACAGTTTCTAATATATCCTACACATGAATGTGTAAGGTAAACTGAAGTAATAATGATAAACCAAAAAATGATGAAAGTAAAGTTTGCAATATGTAGTGCCTATCTAATCTTAAACTGAGCCAGTGGCGCCACAAGGGGGCAGTCCGTCCCTCATCTGGTTCCCCGCTGGCGTAAAAAATTGTAGGCTGCCAATACTGTTTTTAAGAGACTGTGGAAGACTTATTTTTTAAGATAGGGTGAAGATAGTGGTCTCATGTGAAACTAGACAACCTCAGGCATCCACTGGTACCAACTGTGCTGGCATAGCTTGTCGGGAAGGGGGCTAAGTAATGCTCCAAATTTAGGGTAACTTTCAGCAAGCGGACAACTGGCAAAGCAATTTTCAAAGTGGTCCCTTGAACTCTCAACTCAAGATATCTGAACAACAACAGCTTCTACTGGTGCTCAAGAGTCTCCCCTAAACTTGAGAGGGCTTGTTCATTGTAAGGCGGAATTTACACTTCTGCATCGAATCGACGCCGTAGTTATGTTGTAGGCTCTGTGTGGACGCAGAGCCTATGCCGTAACCTACGCCATAGCCTGACGTGCACCTCCCCAGAAAAGTAACTACGTGTCACGGTGACACAGACCTCCTGTCTGTTTCTGTAAGCTGAAACCATTTCCCTCAGTGGAAACAAAACTTTTATGAACTTTATTTTTACAGATAAGAAACAATAAATTGTGAAGACAATAGAACCTCCACAACAAAGCATTTTGAGTCTTGTGTGTGTCCTTTTATTGTATTTTCTCATCACTGTTCTGTCTGTAATCAGGTCACTGATTGTGAAAGGAGAAGTGCAGAGAACGTGACTTTGTGTGCTCAGTTTCAACCATAAATGGACACGGCTCACACAGGTCAGGAAATGCAAGAATAGAATTTGGTGTGAACGCACAGCCTATACAGCAATAGCACAATCATGCTGATACAGAGAAGTTCAGTTTGGTTAAGGACTTTGATCTGTTCAGATGGAGACATTGTAGGACACAGATATGTTCATATTTGGCACTGTGTGTTGCACCAGCTTTCCCATTTGTCGTTAAAATCAAGCACAAATGCAACTAAATTTCATCGCCTATGGTTGACTTCAAACATCACATTAATTGTGCTGCTTTTGAAACACAAACTGCTTACACAAAAACACACATTTACACAATGAATGGTGAACTTTGGGGCTATTTCAATTTGTTTGTTTCCAAAATATGAACAAACTGTTAACTGACATCTAGTAAAGTCCCTCCATTGAAAAACTATATAAATGCATTTTAAAATCTTAAATCAACCTGCCCACGTTACACTCACTCTAGTTGCTGAATGCAACAGTGAAAGTGAAAGAAGTGAAAACATACCATACCTGATACAGAGAGAAAGAAGAAAAGGAATCCAACTGTTGCTACTTTAAAACCCATAACTCTGGCTTCAGAGACTTGAGAACACACCAGCTGGTAAATAACACACACGAGAAACACATCAATAAAATATAACTGACCGTGTGCTGTCTGCATTGCTGTATTTCACAGTCTTTACCTGCCATTAAAATCCAAAATGAAAAAGAATAACATCCAATTTCAATTTGTTGCTGAAGCTCTAAACTGAGCCGTGCAGGAAGTAGTGTTTGTATCACATGGAAAGACAAGTCGCCGTGTCCCTTCTGGGGTCAGGAGACGGTCACAAACTGTTACACAAGATGAGTTATCTTCCTTTATTAGTGAAACTGATAATAAAGCACTGTGTGGCGACCCCTGCTGTTGATTGCTCAGCAGAGTTTTTACATTTCACCTCACAGTTAAGTTTACAGGTTCTGGTGACAATCAGCTGTCCCCAGCTAAGAAAATCTAAGCTCTGTTCGCCATTGTCTCTCTGTGTGTCCCTGCAGGCCTCCTTCTGGGTATGTGGCAGCATTAGTTTCACCTCTTTCCACCAGTTTCCTTTATTTTCTGCATTTTTTTTTAACTTCCACACTCCATTCTTACCCCTCATACACATGTTATACTACTGACAGATACAAGGATTTTAAGAAAGCACTGGTGCAGCTTCATCCTTCGTCATAGTAACACAGATCAAGCAGTGCTCCTGTGGTGCTCAGTGAGAAATGCATGTTGCTAATACAGAGAGGGGAAGTAAATGGTGAATGGGCTTGCACTTGTATAGTGCCTTTCTAGTCGTCTGACCGTTTAAAACACCTTTTCACTGCTTGCCATATTTACACACATTCATGGTGGCGCCATACAGCAGGAAGCATACAAGGTGCAACCTGCTACTCCAATTAGAGGATGACCTGCTCTACCTCCTGAGCCCCCATCACTCACTGAAATCACATGTATGTATATGTGACCTCACTTTCGCCATGGAAGTCTTGACATACACAACTCAAGTGTAACTTGGAGGAGTAAATGAGACTTTTACTGTACTGAAGCGTGAAATGAGCATTCAGTAAACTATCTGCAGGGTAAAAGCGGATAACCTAATTTGATATACTAGAAGAGCTGTAATCCTGAGGCTGGATATCAGTCTGTTTTTGTCCACTGCTCACCAGCAGAGGGCCGTCAATATCTTTGTTTTACTCAGAGCCTCATTATATACAAAATGGTATCTTACTATAAAATGATGAAAACTCTGTGTGTGTGTGTGTGTGTGTGTGTGTGTGTCTGTTCCACGTTTTTCTCCTCACTGACTTGGTCAATCCATGTGAAATTTGGCACAGTGGTAGAGGGTCATGGGAGGATGCCAATGAAGCAATATTACATCAATTGGCCAAAGGGGGGCGCTATAGCCACCAATTGAAATTGCAAACTTTGAATGGGCATATCTCATGCCCCGTATGTCGTAGAGACATGAAACTTTGCACAGAGATGCCTCTCCTCATGAGGAACACATTTGCCTCAAGAACCCATAACTTCCGCTTATATAGATTTTCCGCCATTTTGAATTTTTTGAAAAACACTTCAAATGGATCTCTTCCTAGGAAGTTTGAGCGATCTGCATGAAACTGGGTGAACATAATCTAGGGACCAATATCTAAAGTTCCCTCTTGGCAAAAGTTGGAAAACTTACTAAAACTGAGCTTCTAAAAGGCAATGAATATTGCGGAGGGCGTGGCTCATCACATAAAGGTGTATAACATCTCAAGGGTTTCACCCATCACCACGCAACTTTGTAGGCATATGAACACACATAATCTGAGGGGACCCCTCCATTATTGACCCCATCAAACAAAATGGGGGCACTAGAGAGCTCATTTCTTATCTAGGCCTAACCGCCATATGGATTATTACTAAACTTGGTAGAAATGTAGAACAGGACGCCTCAAGGTGACTGGAGAAATTGGTGAACTCTAATTGGCAACTGGGTGGCGCTATAACAACAGAAAAATGCTTAAAAATGGCTAAAATGCTCCCCCTGTGGCCCAGTGTTAGGGTTTTTTTCCCTAATTTTTGGTATGACTAAGTCATGGTATAGTATGCTGCTGCAACAAGGGCTAGCCACACCTTTCCCATGTGAACTACCAGTGCGCCCCACTTTTAAGTCAATACAACATATAAACATTTTAACTATCTGCCTTTCAACGTGCTACCTCAACTACTATTGTACAGTTTTAGCCCACTAACTATCCCACTATTGGCGATGGTACTACTGTACTTTCAATAAAGCAATTGTACTATCAAATTCACAAAAACTCTGTCTGAATACATTGCTCTTCTTAATGGGTTTAATCTGCAATTCCTATGACCTGTATCCCAAACACACACCATGTGAAACTGTATGTGGGCAACTGTGCACTCAATGAATATGGACTAGTTTATATAAATGGAGTTTGAACCCTGTGGCAGGAGCGTAGTTAGACAGAGGCTACTTGATTTATTGCGAGAACCTAAAAAGTAGTTCACAATTTCTCCATGTGTGTTTTAAAGTAATAGTCAGGTTGCACTGAGACATGTTTTGCTTTTTGCAGTTTTCCCACCTGTTTATACTAGCCACTAAAAATACCATTCATATAAGCTTTCAGTGGAAGCGATGGGGACAAAATGCACAGTACTCGTATTGTGTTTCAAGTTAGACAAATCGAGTGGCAATCTTCAGATACAGTTATCACAGAATGACATTTGCTCTGTGCTTTAAGTGTTGAGCTGCAGTGGAAGAACAGCAGCTATTTCACTATGCTCACACTCACCAATAGAAACAAGCTCCAGAAAATCGACTCACTGACCCTGCCACCACTCGCAGAGCATTCACCATAGCACACAGCCTCTGCCACCCCCTCAACCCTGCTTCATCCTCCTCCTTCCCTCTGGCTGCAGATACAGACAATACTCTGCAAGAGAGCTTTGCTTTGGGAGGAGTTTTATGCTCTCAGACATTATTGGTTAATAAATGACCTGGGGTTACTGTAACAGACTGGTGCTGTGCTGTCGTGGTGTTCTTGTCCGTTTATAACCTGCTCTGAGTAGACTGTGGTGCCATTTTTTCTCTATGGAGCACAATAAAGAATTAATCTGAATCTGAAAAATTATGTTTTTGTGTTTGATTCTTGTCTCATCCAAGTAAACTCGTGAGTCTTATTAAGCAGTGGCTGTTTCAGGTTGTGCATTAACAGAGTGAAGTTTATTACACTGTTTTATAGATGGACAAATGAGTCAGAGCAAACAAACTGATTTGAATTTTATTTGCACTCATTACTGATAAATAAAAGCTTCACCCTGAATAACAAACACAAAAACCCTGTGCAGCAGTGAGAGGGAACTGACATAACGTTGAAACTACCATACGTGCAATACATAGAAAACTGTGTGATAGATCTTACGTTTATCAATGTGTTACAATACACTAACACTACACTGCTACACTAACTATACTATACAAAATATACTGTACATTCTGTGAAATATATCCATGTCTATTTTGACTTCATGCACCTTCTCTGCCAGGACAGATGTGATATGATGGGGCTATCAATATTTCTTAAAATAAATTTGCAACATTAAAATCAACAATAACATTTGAAACTGTGAACATATGTATTGTACCTGCACAGGCACAAATATAGTTTGCATTCCACTCAAATCTTCTGCCACATGCTGCTGCCGACTGCCTGTGACGCTGACTAGATATGTCCACTTCAATGTCTGACTGCATCTGAAGAAAATCAAATAAAGTTTTGGTGAGTTATTTCTCAGAAATGTAACCAGGACGATGTTTTTAGTTTGTGAGTTTTTTCCTCATGCAGCAGACTCAAACCTGGCTGAGCTTCACACCAGGTCTTCCTGCACCTCTGAGTCTTCTCTCCGTGCTGCAGAGTCTGAGACGTTCTCATACACAGAGTCTGACTGATAGGGAGTGACGACAAGATGAGAGTGAGAATATGTAAATTATCTTCATGGCCTCATAAATTAACATCATTTTAACCATTCTGGTAGAGTAAGTTCTGCCACTGTGTCCCAGTCTCTGTCTCACCTCCGGAGTCTCTTTGGGTTCATTTGGTTCATTGGTGGAGTTCAGAGTTTTCTTCTTCCTGAATCTAATCCAAAAAAAAATAAGTAAAAAATCTGATCCAAAACTATGATAGAAAATATTCAAAGTAATCAGTGATGATTGATTTTTATATTTTCACCTCATGCAGAGACAAAATAGAAGCAGTAGAGTCGCTATCACAACCACCAGAGTCAGTCTGATGATATTCATTGTCCTTGTTGATTTACCTGGAAATGGAGAATGACAGTTATGAGATGACAGTTATGAGTCACACATGACTAATTAACATAATTAACTATTGAACACACCTGCTGTAATTACTGAAGTAAATAACATTATAAGGCATCTGACAGACCGGCTCATTGTGACACACAGACAGAAGTTTTTTGAAACCTAAATTTAACTCAAGAGATGATGAGAAGTAGTCATGAGTTTGGATTGAGGCTTGCCTCAACCTGCGGCTGTTGTGGCAAAGACACAGTCATTGTAAAAGAGGACCTGCTCTAGCAGGTGGGCTAGTGGGTGCCCCTAATTCCTTCCTCTTCCTATGAATAACGCATGCAGCATCTTTTCCACGTGAGTTGTGCCAGGATGGTGTTAACACACACCAAATGGTGCTCTAGTTTAAACTTGTGCCCAGTTTCAAGAAAAAGGGCCTCAATACATTTTCTTAAATCCATTGTCTGACTCGTATTTAAAATAATAATTAGTCAGTAAGAGGTTTTTATCTTACACTGGACAACTAATAGAAATGAAGATAAGCGGAGACTGCATTAAAAAAACCTGAAGCTGCTTTTTTAATTACAGAAGATGGTGAATTTGAAACTAGTAGAGCCAAATAAAGTAGTTATGATCTTCTCCTGTAAAGACTGAACAGATTTAAGCTGCTGTTTATTAGCTGTTACACTCACATTTCACATGAACAAAGTTGGAGTCAGACATCATCTTCCCCAGCTCGTTCTCAGCTGCACAGAAATACTGTCCAGAGTCAGAGGACTGGATGGAGCTGAAGACAAGCTGTGGCTCTTCACTGAGCAGTGTTTGATTCTTGGTCTTGTACCAGGTATAGTTAGCTGCTGGGTTAGCATCACTGCTACAGGTCAGAGTCACTGAACTGCCCTCCACTATCTCAGCAGAGGGACACACTGACACAGAGGGACGCTTTGGAGCATCTGGAGATGAATGAACATCAATAATTTAAAGATTAGGATCTGTTATTAAAGAACATGTATAACTATTCACTGTAATTGTATTGTCATGTTAGTGTTTATGAAGTGTGGTTTTTGTCCTGACACAGTGGAGTAAACTTACACACTGAAGGAGAGGGGTAATTCTCATATCCTTTCAGAGCACAGTAATAGGTGTTTGCAGGATTCAAGATGTCTGTAAAAGAAGATGTGTATTCCCAAATTGTCTGTCCATTCCTGTACCAGACGTAGTACTGGTGATTAAGTCGAGCACAACTGTTGTGGCATTTCAGTTCTGACCAGGTACTATGGAATGACCTCCTCACCTGCACCTGGAGATCTGGTTTTGTGGAGATGAAACAGAAATGTTATTCTAGATAAAACTGTCAACATTAATGCAAATTCACACACAAAACAATTATATAAATGTTTCCAAAATGATAATCATTTGGGGAAAAAACTTATGAATGAAAATGTTACCTGTGACAGACAGAGTGACTCCAGGTGAACCAGTTACAGTCCCACCTGGTTGGTCTGTTGTGAACCTGAACTTGTACACAGCTGAGTCACTCTCTCTCAGGTCTGTGATTCTCAGAGTGCAGTCCTTTTCAGTAAAACTGTACTGTACACGACCTGAATACTGTGGGTATGTTCTCAGATCTACAGGTTCATATTCTTTAAACCACATTTTTTTCGTCAGTCTGGTAAAACGTGAATTTATTCTGGATGGGTATGTGTAGCTGCAGTGTATTTCCACTGTTGATCCTTTTACAGCACAGATCTCAGTAGAGGTGTAAGTCACTCTCCAGTCATCCTGACCCTGTATCACTGTAACACAGAGCACATCAGGAACCACAGTCAGACTCAGAACATCAGGAGACAGACTTTCATTTATAGCGAAGATACTACAATTTGTGAAGCTACAGCTCTGTGTTAGATGTCCTCTTATGACTTCTAATTAAAGTAAGAGAAGTGAACGTCTGGTGTTTAAGAGATGGCACCACATTGCACAACATAAAACCTTCCTCTGTATGTCTAAAGTGTGCTAACTGCCTCACAATATAAATGTAGATGTACAGTACCTTGTACAGAGAGAAGGAAGACGACAAATCCACTCGCTGCTGCTGCTAAATTCATAGCTGCTCCTCACGTCTCTGTTAAATCACAGCAGATCATGCACATGAGAAATACTGTGTGTCAGAAAGTCAGAATACACATTTCTATATTACAAAATGAGGATGTGGTCTGTGAAGACAGTGTGTGTCTGCTGTGGTTGGAAACGTTGCACTAAATAGATATGAAGGTGTTTAACCAGGCCTGGCTTCCTTCCTCTTTACTTCAGTAACCTACACAATCACACGAATGACCATGTTGAAATGGAGAAATGAATCTTCCAGCTGTTGTGGAGAGGATGCATTAGCTTCTTAAAATGCAGTTTGTGCACATGACAGTGAGATACAGAGCCTAACCTTCCAGCCCTCACTGACACCTCGCAGAGCACTGACCATAGCACACAACCCCTGCAGGCCTCTCAAACCACGCTTCATCCTCCTCCACTCTGATACAGACAGCTACTCTGCAAGAGGAGTTTTCACTTTAAATAACCTGAGCTCAATATTATGCTGCGTTGTTGTGATGTTCTTATATGTGTCAGCTGTTCGGCGTGTTTGATGGCATAGACTGTGATGTCATTTTTTTCTACAGAGTAGAATAAAGAATTTATCTAATCTAATAAACTTAAGAAGCTTGCTTTTGTGCTCTTTCTGACTCTTGACCCATCCACACTGTAAACCCCAGTCCACCCATGACACAAAATTTCGAAGTACAGTCAACACAAATGCCACGGACTGTCAAAATGACATAAAAACTTAATGCTGACTTGTCACAAAAACTCATCCTTTGTGAACTTGACATACTTTTGAGTTAATTTGACTGGAATTTATAAATCCAATTTTACCTTATTAGTTTAAGGCCAATAAACAACACTGTCTTTGTGCACTTAATATATTGTGGCGTGTTGGGGCTAAACGGGTGGAGTTTCCCAGCATGCCACGTGTGTTTAAATGTGTCCTTAAAGGCTCTCTAAGTCTTCCTAAGCTTGAAAAGTTTTTGTCACATACAGCAAACATCTCCTCACGATCTGCCAGCTACATGTCCTCTAAATATGCTGTGAAAAAGTCCGGTCTCTGTAGGCAGCCCAGTCTCTGCAAATGGCAACAAAAACATTGTGGTCCAGGCTGCACCACACAGCCAGCGCAAGACCAGTGAAAACAAGCACACACACATGAACGCAGTGCCCACGTCTCACGGTCTCGCGCAAGTGCGCACACATGAACGTGGTGCCCAGAGAGGCAGTTAGAGCTGCAGGCTACAATGAGGCTAAAAGGCGAGGTAGCTCTGTTGTGTTTGATAACATTGTTGAACATAAACAGAGGTGAAGTGTTTTTGTAGCCATTTGTGGAGCCTGGGCTGCCTACAGAGACCGGACTTTTTCACAGCATATTCAGAGGACATGAAGCTAGTGGATCATGAGGAGATGTTTGCTGTATGTGACAAAAACCTTTCAAGCTTAGGAAGACTTAGAGAGCCTTTAATCACTCACGGTACTCATTACACAGTGATTATTGTTTATGTATTTCACAGTGCTTCTAATAGGTCACAGTTAATGTTGTGGTAAAACACATTTTGCCCCACAAGTTAGGTCATATACACAGTTAGTGACATCCCACCTGTGTGATAAGTGTGGTGCCTAACACAAAGCTGAGTTTGGATGAGACAAAGACCATTTCTTAGATCAGAATTCAGCTATTTTCCCTTAACTTATTTGATGGGGTGCTTCTTTAATTAAGGGATTTAGTGCCAGTAAATGCATCCCCAGGCCTGCCTTGTCCCCCAACCACACCTGTAGTCAGTGTCAGACTATAAAAGGCCCTTGGTGGCTGGGCTCATTCTTTAGGCTCCTGTTGTGGCTGGTTGTTAACAGATATATATAATTCTTTTTGTACACGTTCTTTTCTTTCGGTGAAGCACAGTGCCACCTTGTTGGGAGGCTAGGCACCCATGGTGAGGTCCCCGCACTTAATGCATGTGAGTAAAGGCACCAGGACACGTGTGTAGATTGCACCATTTTGCTGTGAACATTGCTGTGTTGCATCTGAGGTGAATTGGTGGTGGCACCTCTGGGCAATCCTCAGTGTGGTCTGCTTCTCTACAAGTGGCCTCTGCTCACTTGCCAGTTGTGGTTTTAGATTTTGGATCAAGACCCTTTTAAGCTAATTACAAACAGTATTTTAATTCCCCCTTATTGGTATTTGTGTTGATTTGACTATGTATGCTTTTTTTTTCTTTTCTCCCAGCAGCTCCAGTCCCTGATATTTGCTCATATTTGCGACACTAAACAAAACATTTGGTTTATTTTGACTTAACATCCCTGTCCTTGTTTCAGCAACGAGTCTGTGTGCCCTATTCCTAATTTTCGACTCAATTCAAGGCTCTTGAAAAAGAGTATCCTGGGTGGCGTTGTCGGTCCTCTCCCTACTTTTTCCACTTATCGCCTCCTTGTCACACTTGCAATTGAGAAATCTAACTTGCCACAATATATTTTTATAGTTGAATTAAATGTTGAAAACTGGTTGTAAAATGTGTACTTTTTATGTTCATATGACATATAATTGAATACACAATCAACAACAACAAAAAGTTGTGTTAAACTGACATAACATCCTGTAATGTGACGCTTTTTTTTTCGTCTCGTGTACTCAAAACTTTAATGCTACTGTGTTGTATTAAACTAAAAGTTCTGAGTGCAAGTTGTTGTTGAGTGAATTGGGTTTACAGTGTGGTGAGTCGGCTTTATTTTATCAAGCAGTAGCTGTTTAGGTGTCCATTAACACAGTAAAAGTTTATTACACTGTTTCATAGATAGACAAAAAAGTCAGAGTGGACAAACTGATTTGAATTTTATTTGCACTCATTACTCAAAAATAAAAACTTTACTCTGAATAATAAACAGAAGAGAGTTCATTCAAAGCTGAAATCAAAAACTTCCTGTACACTATCGCCCTCTGCAGCAGTGAGAGAGAACTGCCATGATGTTTAAACTTCCATACATGCAATACATAGCAAAGTATTGAGTCTCCCTCTGGTTTGACTGCATCTGGAAAAAAAACACATTAAGTTCTGGTGAGTTATTTCTCAGAAATGGAAGCAAGAAATTATAGACTCAGGAGACTCAAACCTGACTGACCTTCACACCCAGTGTTCCTGTTCCTCTGCGTCTTCTGTCTGTGCTGCAGTGACAGTGATCAAGGCTGAGACGCTGATATCAGGACCAGACTCCAACTGATGGAGAGAGACGACAAGATGAGAGTCAAAGGCCTCGTAAATGGAATTTGGATTTCATATTGAAATGTACTCAGACGTGTTTAAAGGACAAACTGTTTCCTTTTTATTGCTCTTTGCTACAAAGGAAATCTACAGTAAATGTGGTTGGGGTAAAAATACACATTATTTCTGTTTGTTTCTATTAAGGAAGATTTTACTAGTCAAGGTATATAACGATATGCAGTGTTGGGCGAGTTACTCTGAAAATTTACTACATTATATATTACCAGATACTTTCATTTAAAAGGTAAAGTTACTATAAAATATTACTGTGCAGAGTAATAAGTTACTTATTACACTGCTTTTGCGTTACTTTAACCAAAATGACCTCAGGAGAACACATAGGCATTTTAAATGGATGAGGGTCACGTTGTTTCACAGCAGGTAGTCAAAGCACAGAAGCTCCAGTTTATTACAGTTCATTTCAAATCCAGCGCTGCGCAGGTCTGACTCATGATTCATGTATTCACATACAGTGGTTACCACTTTGTATTCAAATGAAAAAAAAAATAAATATATATGTAAAGCTATTAGACCTTTTTAAGTAAATGTCCTTGGAGGGTCAGGCAGAGGATCAAAATCTGATCATTATGAGATATGGATGCATATTTGAGTTTAGCACAACAAGCAGAATGGCGTGTGATCAAGTCACTGTGACGAGCGCAAATAAAAACACCAGAGCTGCAGACCCACCAGAGACAGAGTTATGCATAAAAACGGGGCTGTGTGCCGGGGTTGCTCTGCAGTTGTAGGGGATGTGAATGGAAACACTTGAGTAGTTTTTTCACCAAATACTCTTTTACTCAAGTAATTATTTGGATGACTACTTTTTACTTTTACTTGAGTAATATTGTTCTAAAGTATCAGTACTCTTACTTGAGTACAATATTTGGCTACTCTACCCACCTCTGATGACAACGCACAACTAACCCTCAGGGGATATTTTTATTTTTTGCTGGAGCACTGGCGGAAGTGGAGCGGTGTGGATCAGTGTGGATGAATGAATATTAAAAACAATAAGCTGTTTTTCAGGTAGTAAAACAGTATATGACATTGTAGATGTAATAACATTACCCGAAATCCTGTTGGTAACGTGTTATATTACTTTGTTACTGCTAAAAAGTAATGTATTACTGTAGTAACGTAAGTTCTGTCACTGTGTCCCAATCTCTCTCTCACCTCCAGAGTCTCTTTGGGTTCATTTTGTTCAGTGGTGGAGCTCAGAGTTTTCCTCTTCCTGAATCTAATCCAAGAACAAACAAACAAATACAAATTTTGATCAAACACTCCAATACTTTGAAATGAAACATTCAAAGTAAAAGATGGGTAATGATTAATTTTTATGGTTTCACCTCATCATCAGAGAAAAAAGAAGCAGTAGCACCAGAGTCAGCCTGATGATATTCATGATTATAGTTGATTTGTCTAGAATTAGAGATGGACAGATGTGAGATATACTGTACTGTACCTTACTAGAAGGGTTTGATTCATAAATCCGTTAATCAGCCAATACTTAATTTCATGTAGAAAATCTTAAAGTGTGTAGCTGCATTTTAGACCTTGAAGGTGGTCTGATAAATGGATGTGTGAAAGTTTGAGTCCCAAAGCTGCATAAAACTCTTTCTTGAGCAAGCAGAGCTCAAGCGAGCAGTTATGATCAGCAAAGACTGGACGGATTTAAGCAGTCATTTCTAAATAAGCTGTTTCACTCACATTTCACATTAACGATGATGTCATTAGACCTCCTCCTCCCCAGCTCGTTCTCTACTGTGCAGTAATACTGTCCAGAGTCAGAGGACTGGATGGAGCTGAAGACAAGCTGAGGTTCTTTACCGAGAGGTTGAGGGTTTGCGTTCGTCTTGTACCAGGTAAAAGTAGCTGCTGGGTTAGCATCACTGCTACAGGTCAGAGTCAATGAACTGCCCTCCACTATCTCAGCAGAGGGACTCACTGACACAGAGGGAAGCTTTGGAGCATCTGGAGGAGAAATGAATGTGAACAACTTAAAAGATTAGAATATGTTATGATGGACAGGTCACCAGACTATCACAGGGCTGACACATACAAACAGACAACCATTCACACTCACATTCACACCTATGGACAATTTAGAGTCACCACTTAACCTGAACTGAATGTCTTTTGAAAATCATGCCAAGTGTTGACAGAAGCAGCCCAAATCTCATCTGCCAGCTTGTTGCTACTTTTTCCAGCCGAACATAGTCAATAGTATCTCCAGTGGGCAGCCACCCACCCAAAATGGCAACACTGATCACAAGTATCTGCATATTTCTTCTGTTAGTAGTAGTTCAGCTTTTTGTTTTTTATTAAATAATACTGCTGTTTCAAGACTAATATTTAGAAGACCCAGTGAGGTTAGGTCTGAGATTGTAAATGTGTTGTAATGTCAGAACGTATGTGTCTTTTTTATCCTGACACAGTGGATTAAACTTACACACTGAAGGAGAGGGGAACTCCTCGAGTCCCTTTATAGCACAGGAGATGGCGTGTCCTTCATAAGAAAATGCCTCCATCCCCGGGCTTTCCTCCCCATTCTGGAGCCAGACGTAGGAAAGACGACCAGCTGGACTGCAGCTGCTCTTACACTTCATCTCTGCCTCAGCATAAAACTGACAGCCTTTTTTTCTGGTCACCTGCACCTGGAGAGCTGGATATGAGAACAAGAAACAATATTATTACTGATTCTAAAACAAAAAAATGATGACAGACGTTCAGTGCAACAGTTTCAGTTCTTAGAAGTTATTACACAAACTGAGTGATCCTTATTGACATGTTGAGTGTTTTTAAATGTACAGTGTTGGTCTGTGTTTACCTGTGACAGTCAGAGTTGTACCAGGTAAACTACTCCTCCATTCAAAGCTTGGTGATGTGAATTTGAAGTGATACTCAGCTGAGTCGCTCTCTCTCAGGTCAGTGATTCTCAGGGTGGAGCGTCCTCTCTCTGTGTCAATGACCTGAACACGACCTGCAAACTGGGAGTCTTTACTAAGGTCCTCAGGCTGTGAGGGATTCTGCCACTGACCTTTACGTTCAGGACTGAACCAGAATTTGGATTCAACATCATCTAGGCTTTTGTAAGTGCAAGAAATGTTTACTGATGAGCCTTTTAAGGCACAGATGCTTCTGTTGGTGTACGTCACTCTGTTGCAGGTTTAACCATCGGCACCTGAAAGATAAAATAATATATATATTTTTTTCACATTTTCTAACGAGTGTCAGTGAGGAGTCACAACAGGGATTTCTGTATTAGCAATGCATGTACTGATACGGCTCCACTAGATGGTGATATGTCATTAGAAATCTGTAAAGTCAACTCACAGTCTGAAGGAGCAGGGAAAACCTCATATCCTCCTACAGCACAGGAATAGCTGTACGATAAATCAACGCTGCCTTGATAAGAGTACGACGTTTCTTCAGGTATTTTCTGTCCATTCTTGTACCAGATGTAGGAATAATTACCAGGTAGATGACAACTGCTCCGACATAAGACAGGAGAAGAGCTTCCGAAGTTGAAGTTCACCTTAAGATCTGGATTTGTGAAGTTATTGTTATTATTTTAGACAACACTGTCAACACACACACACACACACACACACACAACACATGTACATGTTTGTTTTTTAGATGTTGAAAATTCAGAAATAATAACATATGAATGAGAATGTTACCTGTGACAGACAAAGTGACTCCAGGTGAACCAGTTGAACTCCCACCTGGCTGGTTTGTGATGAACATGAACTTGTACTCAGCTGAGTCGCTCTCTCTCAGGTCTTTGATTTTTAGAGTGCAGTTGTTGTTTTCACAGTGATCCTGCACACGACCTGAATACTGTGGGTCTGTTGTCAGATCCACAGGAACAGGTCCATTCATTTTGGTAAACCAGAATGTTTTCTCAACTGTAGTAGCACGGCCATTTATTCTGGATGGGTATCTGTAGCTGCAGCGTATTTCCACTGTTGTTCCTTTTAAGGCACAGATCTCAGTGGAGGTGTAAGTCACTCCCCAGACATTCTGACCCTGTATCACTGTAACACAGTACACATCAGGAACCACAATCAGATCTGGTTTGTAAAAATGTACCCATGCTCTCTACACGGTTGTCACTACAGGGAGGAAGTGCCGATTCCATTCAAGTGTACTAACCCAGGTTGTTCAATGATTTTGACCTCAGACACTGAAGTACAGAAGCATGTTTCACGGCAGTATACAGAAATAAGCACCAGGAGGTTGCTATTGCTGACGCTGCTGGCCACGACCAAAATCGTCAAATACCACCACTTTGTCAGTGGATGTCAGGGTCAGACACAGACACACTGTGACACTCTTCATGGCGGTATGATACACACAGAATGGGGGCTATTTCTGACGCCACCTGCCTAGTAACTACCTTAGTATATAGAGCAACAAAGTCCCTCTAGGGTGAGTGGGAGGGGAGGTGGATGGGACAAAAAAACACCGGACTTTCACTCAGGAGTCCACTGTTTATTTTATTTGTGAAACCAAAAGTCAGTTGAGTTAATTTGATATCAACCTAGTGTGCTAGCCAGTGTGTGTAACATGCTTCAGTAGTAACGTATGTCACATGAAAAAAGTCATGTGACATTAAGTTAGTAAGAAGTGTACTTATTTTAAGATAAACCATGATGTTTTTTCTAAACCTAATGACGTGCTTTTGTTGCCTAAAGAAAAGGAAATAAATGTAAAAACGCAATGTTTTACCTACATACATACATCCATCCATCTTCTAACCGCTTCATCCTCTTGAGGGTCGCGGGGGAGCTGGAGCCTATCCCAGCTGACATCGGGCGAGAGGCAGGGTTCACCCTGGACAGGTCGCCAGACTATCGCAGGGCTGACACATAGAGACAGACAACCATTCACGCTCACATTCACACCTACGGACAATTTAGAGTTATCAATTAACCTAATCCCCAATCTGCATGTCTTTGGACTGTGGGAGGAAGCCGGAGTGCCCGGAGAGAACCCACGCTGACACGGGGAGAACATGCAAACTCTGCACAGAAGGGCTCCCACACCCGGGATCGAACCGGGAACCCTCTTGCTGTGAGGCGACAGTGACCTACATACATAGGAAGTTTATTTTGAAAAACACTGTATGTATGTCACCAGAAAGTATATTTTGGAAAAACACAATGCATGTAACAAGTGTCAATTGAGACACTGTCCATGAATGTCTAAAACCAATGGAGGACAGTACCTAATGTGTCCTTTTATGACATTTAGGCCCACTGACAAAGTGGCAGTGTTTGACACCAGGGGTCAGATACATAAAACCGTGTGTGGATTCATGACTAAAACTGTGTTTGTATGCAGCCCATATCCTGTTTCGACGGAGAAGCCTTGAGCAGCTTCAGTTCCCCATCTATGTTCTTATCAAAGCCACCAGACTCCACTGAGAAAACCAGTAATTTTAGCTCAGCCAACACAGGAGCTGCTGGTTTATTGATGCACTGATCACTTAGTTAGCTAGTGTAACTGTGTGACTTTGGTGAATCAGAACTAACCCTATAAAACACCAAAGTCACACAATAACACAAACAGACTAACTGATCATGGCAGCGGTAGACCAGCAGCTCCTGTGTTCAGCAATGTTAATTCACATGTTGTCTCAATGGAGTCTGGCTCTGATGAAAGTCATGTAGCAGCGTCATTCTCCTGTTGGAAATCAGTGTCTGACATTCAGGTAAAGTAGGGAAATATCATAAATATAGCATAGATTTTGTTGCTGACTAAATCCACAGCAGTACATCACTTAGCTTCAATGTCAGACTCCAGCCTGCTTCTCATAACTGGCTGACAGACATCTACTGTTTGTAATTTACTCTCTATGGATAAGTATCCCATACAGCCCCACTTCAAAAAATCTGAACTATCCCTTCAACATGTTAGCATTTCTAACCATGAGAAGAAAACATTATGTTTTCATTATTTTTAAAGGTATTTGGTCACAACCAAAGACTTGCACTGCCTGGTGATGATGGCACTATGAAAAGTCAAAGGATCATCAGAGATCAAAACACAAACCATGAATGTCTGCACGAAAATACAGATAAAATAATTTCACTTTTTACTCTGAATCACAAATGTCGGGATCATAGTGGCACAACAGGAAAGGTCAGAGGAATTCATCCTCCAGTAACCGTAAATGTGTTTACAACATTTTTTGACAATCAAACAATTGTTGAAGTATTTCAGTTTGGACCAAATATGCTGAGGAATAACCATAACTTCATTTGGAAGACTTTTATATAGTCAACACAAGTACAGCTGAGCCTTTTCTGCTGTTTGAAACTGTTGTAATAATGCTGTTTAGAATCAGTGAAATATCTCACATATAAAATATACAGTACCTGATACAAAGAGAAGGAGGACAACAAATCCACTTGCTGCTGCTTTAAAACTCATCGCTGGTTCTCTCCTCTCTCTGCTGTGACCTGAGAAACAGTGAAACTCATTAGCAGGCAAATAACATGAGAAATGTGACAATCACATTGAAAAAATACTATTGATATTTACCTCACTGTTGTGTCCACTCAGCTCTGCTCATCAGCCAAAGTCAAGAAAATCAGTTATGTTCTCCAAAATACAACATCCAATAAAATCAAATGTCAAAAGGGAACTGAATCTCTAAACTGAGCCAAAACGTGTGGCACATGTATAGAGCCGTTTCTTACGGACCATATCTGATCTGATAAAAAGGCACATTTCCTTCCTCCAGAAGCAAAGTACTAACCATGCCTGTGAAAGAGAGGCAAGAAGATAAGGTTGCCTGAGTTACGGCCACTACGTGTCATGCCATCCATATCATGTCTCTGTCAACTCACTGCATCTCTGTTTGACTGTGAGGACATGTGTACAGACAAAGGACTGAAACAAAAATGCCTTAGGTCTCTGTGCAGAAAAACACATTGTGAGGTCAGAAATAATAGCAGAGAGTGGATATTTCTTTAAGATCAAACATGAAATGTGTTTTATATACAGTGTATAAAGGGCCTCAGAATTGCATCTTTGCTCTATGCAGATGATGTGGTTCTGTTGGCTTTATCATACCGTGACATCCAGCATGGGACTGGCACTGGTGCTGGGGCAGTTTGCAGCCGAGTGTGAAGCAGTCAGGATGAGGTCAGTACCTCCAAGTCTGAGGCCATGGTTCACTTTGGGAAAGGATCGATTACACTCTTTGGGTTGGGAGAGAGTTGCTGCCCCAAGTTAAGTATTTTGGGTTCTGCTGACAGTAAAATGGAGTGTGTGATGAACTGTGATGAAGTGAGGGCTGAGCTAGGAGGCAAAACTTTTGATTTACTGGTCCATCTAATGTATATCCCAACCCTCTCCTATGGTCATGAGCTATAGATAGTGCCCAAAAGAACAAGATCACAGATACAAGCAGCCAAAAATGAATTTCCTCTGTAGGGTGGCTGGGCTCAGCTTTAGAGACAGGGTGAGGAGCTCAGACATCCGGAGGGAGCTCGGAATAGAGCCGCTGCTTTTTGGTATCAAAAGGGGTCAGATGAGGTGGTTCAGGTATCCGATCAGGATACCTCCTGGCCACCTGCCATTACAGGTTTTTTGGGCACACTCAATTGGTAGGACGCTCAGGGGCAGACTCAGAACACACTGGAGGGATTATATATGTCATCTAGCCTGGGAGCACCTTAGGATCCCCTAGGAGGAGCTGGGTTGTGTTGCAGGGGAGAGGGACATTTACAGTACTTTACTCAGCCTGCTGCCCCTGTGACCTGGCCCCGGATAAGCAAATGAAAATGGATGGATGGATACAGTGCATTAAATTGTATCTAAATTGACAGTAGATTAATGTCAACCATGGTGTGGACTAACATGGACCCTGGTGACCTTCTCAGATCTACACTTTCTACTCTGGCCACAAGGAGGAGCCACAACTGCTTTACAATTAAATTAATGAATTAATTTACAATCAAATATTCATTAATATTAATATATTAGGCATATTAGGTGGCACAGGGGTGCAGTGATTAAACTCTGCACATACATACAACTGGACAGTGAAGGTCATGATTAAAATCTTTTGAAGCCAGTTAAATAAATATAATATTGATATATAACACCTAATGTAGACTAAATGAAGAAAACAAATCCACTGGCTGCTGCTGGAGAGAAAATTGTGTAACCAGTTTAAAGATCATTATCTTACAGAGAAGTGATCTTCAGACGGTACTCATCAGCTATCAGTAACAGGTTTCCTTCCTCTGCTCATGAAATGTATGATGAAGAATGATAGAAGTGTAAATATGCAACAGTATTGCCTTGATGATTGCCACGACAAATTCTGTATCATTTGTTTAATAAACCTAAAATTGCAGCATCTTGTCTTTAAATGAAGTCATTGTCATGTTGTTCATTGTAATTCTTTTTTTCTGTTTTTGCCTTGATGCTCTGCAGCTTTGTGGTTTTTATCTTTTCTGTTTCTCTGCATTGGTATTGAACCTCTGCTACATTTTGTGAACTCTGTCCCAATAAAGGAGAAAAACCACATGGTAAAGGGAAATTTAGATGTATGTGAATTACAAATATAACTGAAATGCTGTGACGAAATGTGATTTTGCAAGTGGTGCTGTTGAATGTTATCAGTGGTTAAATGGAACTAAGCACACTTAATCACACACTGAAGGCCAAGGATCATACAGTCTATGCTTTAAATACAATTTAGAGGTAGCCTACTTTCTTTCTCTAATCTACTATATTTGGGAGGCAAATATTTTGAATAAATTTATTTAAAATAAATGTTTGATTTTGATTTTTACTCCACTACATTTATTTGACAGCTTTAGTTACTTTGTGGATTTAGATTATTAACACAAAATATAAATAAACTCATGGATTATGATACATTATTATGTAAGCTACCCAGCAGTATATAATTCTGCTCCACCTGTACCAGGTGCGATATCTGAGTGATGTACACATAAGTGCATAAATGTTTATAATCCAGTAATATCATGTATGATTCTTTATGATTACTTTTACTTGGGGGGGGGGGCTTTATATTTTGATGCTAATACTTATATGCTTTTACTTAAGTGAGACTTTGAATCCATTTTTTTTTTCAAATTTTTTAACGGGGTATTTTTACACTCAAATGAACATGTATCGATCAGGTCAAGAACTCAAAATGACCACAAAGAGATGAAATGGCACTGCAAGGAGCCACAAAGGACCGCAGCAATGGGAAAAGAGGCTCAATATGTCTGCAAAGACATACAAACCAATCACAACAAGACACTAAATGACTAAAAAAATACACAAATGGCAAAAAATCACGCAGAATTATTTCAAAGAGATGCAAAATAACTTCAAGGACACACAAAACAACCACAAGGTGACACAAAATGACCGAAAAGAGACCATAAACAATTGTATAACAACTACAAAGAGACACAAAACCACCACAATGTCTTTGAGTCTTGCTCTTCGCTTAAAACAGTGGTGGGGCCTATAGCATGTCTGTGCCCGGGGGGGCCATTGTCTCATAATCTGCCCACAATTGCAGGTTTATTGAGTCCTGCAGCTTGATGCTGCATACAGATGTTGTTTTCCTATTGACAGAGCTACTGAATTCAAACCGACCAATCACAGTCAGGGACATGCAAATCAGAGCCGGAACGTCACGCCTACGTTTGACAAACGACCAATGGTTGACAGAGTGGGCGGGGCCTGAAGGACAACAGCGGAGGATTCAAACTGAATATGGCTGCGGGTAAAGATGCCGATGAAAACACACATAATAGAAGGTAAGAACGAGTCGAGACTGACATTAAAATGTTTAATGGTAGTTGAATTGACGCAGTGTTAGCATAACTCACGACAAAAGCAGAACTTGAGACATTTAAATCGGTGAAAATACGCAGGCTACGCATGAGACTGATTGACAAGGGTTGTCACTCTAACGTTAGCTGTCAGCTCAAGCGAAGTCATTTTAATGCTAACGTTACCTGCCGCAACTTACCATATGAAAGCTGAAAAAATAGTCAGGTAACTACCACTTGGTAGCCAGATATCGTTAGTAGCAATTGAAATGCTTGTTTAGGAAATAAGTTAGGCAACGTTAGTGGGAATTCACAGCTTATGTTAGCTAGCGTTAGGTCGGGAGTCTTGTGTTAGCAAACGTTTTCGCAAACTGCACAAGCTAAATTGAATTTAAGTTAGCAAAGTTAATTTGGCTTAATTACGTTAGTGGTGCAACACTGTGAAATTAACCCACTGCTCATATGTTTCAGCACACGCATAACTTTTGTGCAGGCATGAACATAATATCCAAAGCACCAAATCCTGCCTTTGTATAGCTTATAACGTTGATGTTCAAGCTTTGTTAAAACTGTCAGAGGTGTAGTTTCAACTTTCATGTCATTTGTGAGGTTGTAGATGGCAGTGTCGTCAGAATTAGCTTTACAGAAGGCGGTGAAGATAAGATTAAAGGGACACTATAATGAGTTTGATCATTGAGTTTAATTTACTTGATATGAGGAGTACTGCAGCCTGTGTGTGAAAACCGTTGTATAATATCTCCTGTGTTTCTAAAGGGAGCCTCCTAAAGTCTGAGAAAATTAGACATGGTATGTACACAGATCAGCCAATACATTAAAACCACTGGCGGGTGAAGTGAGGAACATATCATCTTGTTCTGCTGGGAAACCATTGGTTCTGGCGTTCATGTGGACGCCACTTGACATGTTCCACTCACCCAAACACAGTTGCAGACCAGGTTGCTCCCCTCCGCCCCATGGCATGGCAGTAGCCCTTTAGCAGGACAGTGCATCATGCCACACTGCAAAAACTTCTCAGGAATGGCGAGAGGAATGTGACAAAGAGCTCATGTCACTGACTGAGCATTCGTGGGACCTGACGGTACCCCAGAGGTGCCCCTCATTCACAGTGGGACCTCCTTGGATTGGACTTGACCTCTGGAGGATGTTCTGTGGTGTCAGCACCTGTGTGTTAGCGGTGAATCCTTTCAGATTTATTGTGTCGGCATGTCCCACAGATGCTCGATCAGATTGGGGTAGGGCTGGGCGGTATGGCCTAAAATCAATGTCACGGTATTATTTTGAGGGGATGCGGTGACGGTATGATATCGTGGTATCGTCTTCTCTCTTCTTTTTTTTTTACACCTTAAATAAAACAATTTAAAAAGCCATACAAGTCTAGGATGGTAACTATTTATCGTCAGAAGTAAAAAGGTTGCTAATCTATCTATTATTGTGTATAAAACTTTATATAGCTAGTATGTATAAATGTTAGAGGGAAGAGGGAGGGCCGGCGGCTCCCGGGCCCCCTTCTCCCGCGGGCCTGGGTTTGGGGCGGTCGGCCAGGCCACCTCCATCATGTAGCGAGGGAGGTGCATGAAGCAGGCTGGCCGGCCGCACGATTGGGGACATTTCTGAGCAGTTTTTGTGGTGTGGCATGGCGCACTGTTCTGCTGGCAGGCATATGCCATTGTAATGAGATGATCGGTGTTATTTACTTCACCTTACTTAGTTACTTACTTAGGCCTTTAAATTCCCTGAGGAACATAGGCCATAGATGAGTCTCCTCCAGTTGTTGCCATGGCAGCCCATTTACTTC